CTACGACCCTGGCCCCCGCCACCCCTCCCAAGTCTACCTACCATCTTTCTACGTTTTCCCAACCTCCTTCCAATTACCCCGTTCTTTAGGAGTTCTACCAGTATTCTTTCCCAAATGAAAGTTGGTGGCGTCAGGCGAATAGAGAGAGAAGAGGTCGTGACCCATCAAAATCAACTAAAATCAGCCATCGGACAGTTGTATTGCGGTTCTGCGACTCCACCAATTTGGTAAAAGAGGACTCGATAACCCATCAGGAACGGGAAAAAGCGACTGAAAAAACAGAGGGAGAATTTATTTGTGGCTGCTCTAATATAATGCCAGAGCAAGACGACCCCACCTACTAAATACGACCCTACCCCAGGTGCGCTCTCTCTGATGGGATCTCCCTTCCTACACAGCCATTTTCTATTTTAATCACATGGGTCCATAGGTTTACCGAACAGTGCCGGGTTAACACACGAATGTTCAGCGCTGTTTTGAAAGTACCCGAGAAAAACTAATCTAGAACATCCTTACCTTCTGAAAGCATTTAATGCAGTAATGTTAGCATACATATAAAACAGGTAGTAATTATAGGGCGGATTCTCGGCATCTTTGTAGTTATCAGGACTAGGTGTTGATCGATCGAACTGAATTTCATGCAGGTATATATTGATTCTTATAAAAAATGATTCTTCAGAAAAACTCACATGAACGAATTCGTGCTTGCTTTCGTCATCGACCGAATCAATACCGGAGACTTGTTGAAGGAATCGGTAAAGATCGGGATGTGATGCCGGATCATTTGTGGCCTAAAAAGCTACTTTTCAGTGTATAGGAACCTCTTCAAACTCTTATTCGAAGCTTCATCGAGCAGTGGAAGTGGAACTCGATGTCCCCGTATCCCGGATACATTACCACACGTGTCTCAAATGGAAATATCCCACAGGGAGCGTATCCTGCGCCCAAGACACGTCGTACATAGGTTAGAATTCCCAGCGAAGAGGGTCGTATTTGGTCGCTGAAGAAAGGGGAGGGGAAGTCTTATTAGCCTCCGAGAAAGATGCTTCAGGTTATGAGAATTTCCCTGGTTCGGGAGCGTTATTTCCCCACCCCCTCCCAGCCACACTCGACAGCAGTTTCGGGAAAAAAATGGAAGTTGGGGGAGAATGCCGCACCAGAGGAGGAAACCTTAGGGTGGAGAGCAGGGCCAAGAAAATCTTCCCAATCCGCGAGACGTGTCCTGCTTGCGCCGTGTTCAAACAAGGTATGCAACACGCCTCCTCCCCTCTCCTTGTTTCCAGCATACGGAGTGCAAATAAGGAGCAGGAGGGGCCAAAAAGGACAAAGGGATCTGTATGGGATCGGGATGGGAGTAATGGCGGTGTCAAACGACCCCCCCCCTCCACCCACGGTGGATCTCTTCCTCCGATCACTAACCTCCCTCTCGCCATCCTACCCCTCATCTCCCTATGTTAAGTTTCCCAACCTTCCACATGTTTTTCCCGAAGTTACCCGACCTTATACAACCTTTTCAAATGTTTCCCAATTTCCTATAACTTTTTAGCACCTCTCTAAAATATTTTCTACTTAATCCCTCACCAGAACTGCCGCCGAGCGGTGGAAAGTCGTAGTCAATCATTCTCGAAAAAGTTCTGCCGAGATCACTACCCCTCTTTCACCACTCCCTCCCCCTCCGAAATACCTGCAGCACCTCTCTGACGACCTAGTACAACCTCCACTGTTGGGACCCTTCTAACAATGCTGCACCCTGGTTGAAGATCGCACACGAAAGGGTGCCCAGATCCCAGCGCCATCAGGACTCCGATGGTGAGCGTGAGTTGAGTTACTGGGCTAGAATGTGGCGCTTTGCAACGAATGGCTTCTTATGAAGCGACTTTGAAAAGTACTGTACTGGCCTCGAATAATGGAGTGAACACATTGTCAAGCAGCTCGTCGAAGTTTTTCACCATATTTTTAGACTTGTAGATATCACTGAAAATAATGGCAAATATAAGAGTACTGTAACAAGTTGGTTGTAAATTACAAGAGGAACTTTCGAAAATTGAACTCACTAAAGTCGAGGGATTTGTATCAGCCATCTCACATTCGGACTCCACACATCATGAGTGATCGCCCATTTGGCGAGTTTATCCCATTCGTCCTGAAAGTTTCTGATGTACGCTACAAATTTAAGTCCTACGAGGATAACTTCTGACAGTCCGGCTTTTAGCAGGTTGCGTAAAAAGGTCGTGTCGTTTTCGTTTTTTCAAATGTGGTTTCCGTAGTTTAACTGGCATTTCAAGATGTTCTATGGCCACAAAAGGCCACTTGAGTGGGAGGGTAGAAAGGCCTCGGGTGGTGTAATTAGATAGCGCACTCGCACGGTGGCGACTGGCTGTAGTCACTGGGTCCAGCCTGGTGTTTTGCAGTCTGTTAGTTAACTAGAATTATAAAAAGGAACCATGGACGTGCAAAATGCCCCTCCCAAGCCGAGCAGCCCGAAGAACCGAAGTAAAAACAACGAGAAAAGGAACCTTCTTCGTCCATAAATGGAAAGACGTGGTTCTGCATGCTGATACTTTGAATCTTCTAGATCCGAAAGAACCTCCTGAAAGCACTTTGGTACTGCTGATAATCAAACCTTAGGATTACGGTGGAACACTTACCATGAGCACCTCAGCGAAATACTTTCCGCCGACATAATTATCGGTTTTGATGAAAATCTCACGCAATGTCGACTCGCCTACTGGATTGTACCTGTAAGGATCTTATTAAGAGAAGGGCACCGACCCTCCAATCTATTAGGGTGTCCACAAAGTTCGTTGGCCATTCGTTTTTTGCAGAGCTTATGAAGATAACTCACCAAGTTGAACTTACCGGTCCATGATATAATCTCCATGCATACCCACCACCTTTCGCCAACGATCGGGTAGAGAGGCAACTCCATCCTCTCAGAAGCCGGCCAGCCGCGACTCGCCCAAGTCCTCGATCACGTCCTCGAGGTCGCGCTCGTTCTTCAGCTGTTTTCCGTCCAGGAAGTTTTCGCATGGACCGGAAGATGTGGTAATCGCATAGACTGATGTCCGGGCTATATGGTGGATGCGTGAACGTCTTGATGCCCAGCCTGTCCAGGACGGCCTGAGTATCTCTCGCTTTGTGGGGGCGCGCGTTGTCCCAGAGCAACCACGGATTGCAAGTTATTCTGACGGGACAGGCGGCAGCTTGTCACCTTGACTCGCCGCAGTAATTCTATAATGAGAGTATTCTCCAGCTTCTCTCTTCTTGCAACCTCGGCATGTTAGTAGTGAGTGTTTCAATATTCTTGTGCCTTTCGAGGTTGGTTAGGTGGAACGTTTATTAATAATGGCCTAACGTTTCGACTTAATCGTCGTCTTCAGAGGCCTGAATGTGTTTCAAGCATTAGATATGCAACCTACCCCACCAAGCACCTCGTCAACTCTAGCGGTTCCGACGTCGTGTCAGGAACCCCTCGAGAAGACGCCAATATCGCAAGACAGAGACTCACCAGTGGTTCCACCGTTTGAGCGGATAGGTCCGCGGCCACACTAGAGCGCTGTCAAGTAGAAAAATGAAGAATACGACGTCTCCGTATAATGACATATCAGGAGACGGACGTCACGCTCTGTCATTCTACAGTTCGCAGTGGGGTATAAACGGTAGCAGATCGTTTGTGATGGCAGGACACTCATCTCGGTTGTTCATTCTGGGTTTTCTAGTGAATATCCAGAATGCTTCCAACGCTTTTCTGGCTGAGAGTTCCGTCTCATTTGCCAGCACACTGCACTTTATTTCGAATTCGATACCATCATGTTCCACAACCTTATGCCTCCCAAGAGCAGTTGTAAGGGTACCGCGTCTCATGCTAGCAAGATGTTCCTTGATACGAGTAGCCAAGACCCTTCCTGTCTCCCCAATATATGTGGAGTTACATGCCCGACACTGGATTTCATATATTACCCCAACTGCGCACAGTCACCAGTTTTCCCGTGTGGGCAAGTAACACAATTTTCTGATATGCACTGCTTGTCATAGAGCCTGTTATCAAGCAGCAGCTGGTCCGTAACAGGCTCTATGACAAGCAGTGCATATCAGAAAATTGTGTTACTTGCCCACACGGGAAAACTGGTGACTGTGCGCAGTTAGGGGTAATATATGAAATCCAGTGTCGGGCATGTAACTCCACATATATTGGGGAGACAGGAAGGGTCTTGGCTACTCGTATCAAGGAACATCTTGCTAGCATGAGACGCGGTACCCTTACAACTGCTCTTGGGAGGCATAAGGGTTGTGGAACATGATGGTATCGAATTCGAAATAAAGTGCAGTGTGCTGGCAAATGAGACGGAACTCTCAGCCAGAAAAGCGTTGGAAGCATTCTGGATATTCACTAGAAAACCCAGAATGAACAACCGAGATGAGTGTCCTGCCATCACAAACGATCTGCTACCGTTTATACCCCACTGCGAACTGTAGAATGACAGAGCGTGACGTCCGTCTCCTGACTATTGTTTCAATCTATCACGGAGACGTCGTTATTCTCATTTTTCTACTTGACAGCGCTTCTAGGTGGGCCCGCGGACCTGTCCGCCCTTCAAACGGTGGTGGTGGAAACCACTTGGTGAGTCTCTGTCTTGCGATATTGGCCGTCTTCTCGAAGGGCTCCGGGTGTTTTCCTGACACGACGTCGGAACCGCTAGAGTTGACGAGGTGCTTGGTGGGGTAGGTTGCATATCTAATGCTTGAAACACATTCAGGCCTCTGAAGACGACGATTAAGTCGAAACGTTAGGCCATTATTAATAAACGTTCCACCTAACCAACCTCGTAAGGCACAAGAATATTGAAACACTCTTTAGAGAGGGTCTCTGCCGTCACTGTGGCATTGTTGGGTAGGGTGCTATAGTGGACGACGCCGTGACGAGAGAACCAGAAACCTCGGCATATCTTCGATGCCATAGTTTCCATTGGTGAAGCGAGTCCCCCATTTTGACATCCAGTTCTTAGAAGGGGTGTTATCACCAAACTGCTGACGCATCCTGGTCGTGGCCTGACGTCTGGAGATGTCCAGATTGTAGTAGTCCAGCAACTATCACTCATCTTCACTGCTTTATTGTGGAAAGATCAGGAAAGGGAAATTTAGAGCTAGCTCAGAAGATAGCCCATCGCGAGTACTTTCAGTATTGCGAAACCATTATGCAAAATCACAACGCGTTGCGTAACGCGACGCTGTTTACAAATGGCCAACGAACTTTGTGGACACCCTAATAAAAAAAGAAACAGAAAGCATAGCTTTAAAGCCGGTTGCCGGCACATTTAAGGCGCAGAACAAGCAGTGCAGCGATGAAAAGCGGGCGGCGCAAGAAAGGAAATGGAAGAGTGGATGATAGATCTGGAAAAAAGCTGGACGCTATATAAGATAGAGGAAGAACCAGTCGCCAGCGCCTACGTACCTCTCCCTTGGCAATGAAGGCCTATTGAATTTTATCTGGCAAGTGGAGACTATTCGCTGTGGGCACTATCCCCTAGGGGATGGTCGTCTGAGCTCTAACCCTAAAGCCTTGCCTGAGGAGATAGAGGGGCGCGGTGCCCGGATCCCCTCCCTCCCTCTGGCTACGTTCCGCACAGGGCTGATGCGGCGCGAAATAAGCGCGTGGCTCTCAAAGAAGAATGCACTTGTAGTTACATCCCACTCCAACAAGTTCACACCGCAAACAGCTTAATTTCCCTTCGTGGGCGGGGTGTGAAGGAGGGGCGTAGCGGCGCGAATAACCAAGCGATGTGAAACAAACACCCAATCTAAGCCGCGGTATTCATAGCAGAGCAGTATAGCAGGCCTGCCAACAGCGAAAGGAAAATTTTGCAGTACGCGAAGACACCTCCCTTTCCTGGACACCCCATGGTGGAGTATCCGCTTTCTTTGCCATATCAGACAATTGTCCACAGCTACGCGCTCGCAACCAGGTCCTGTAACATTCCCTCGCTGCGACCATTTGGCCAAATCATGGACTACACATACATCCATTACAATCATGGGCGCAGTTGGGCTAGGTAGGGGAAGCCTTTGTGCACTTCGCTGCTTCTCAAGTCATGAGGTTGATAGCAGTCAAAACCCTCTAAAAACTCTGTGAACTCTTGTGAGATACCTGCGCCCTGTCCTTGATAAAGCCAACCACAAACACACAGCACAAGGGAACACGACAACGGGCAAGCACCTGAAAGTGCAAAGTCCCCCCATCCGCTCCCCATCCGAATGGCGCCCAAGTTATTTAATTATTTACTACTGAGAGACCCACAACAATGTATTTAAAAGACCATACTTCGTATTGAATTTGTCAAAGCGATGGAATGTGTTTCTGTCCGCATGCACGTCCAGCATGTCCACAGATAGATCGTAAGCATCGATTCCCATCTTTTTGAACACCTCCTTCATGGTGACCGGCTTGTTGTTCTGAAATTCCCATTGTAGATGTTAGGTATGTCATCGACAGTTGTTTGTGGTCTCTTACGCATAACTGCACAATCCTGCTTCGCATGAGTGGAAACGAAAGCTTCAAAAATAGTGCAGAGAACATGCCGTGGACCGGAAACTAGAAGTTTTCCGCGATTATCGCATGGGCGGGGAATGGGTAAAGACTCATTTACACTCTGCCTTCCTCACTGGCATCCCTCATTAAAGCGAACGATGCCGCGCGTGCCGAGGAACGAGTTTTCTGGCCTGGCGCTCGAATTTGAATGCTGATGGAATGAGAAGGGCGATCGAATTTCACGGTGGCATGAAGTTCTTAGCCCTCGCTTGATGCACAGGAGATGCCAGTTGACAAGCTGAAGTGCACACTCGATATGCCGCGAACACCGCGTACGATGCGCGCGTGCAACGCCACGGCCAGACTTACGCATGATCTTCGACCGTCTCAATCACAAAGATTATAACGCTTTCAAAAATGGGGGGGGAGGGAACGGGCGTAAACTGCGAGAGTTGCGAGAGTTCAGCGATAAAGAGCAGGACGAGTAGAGTGTTGTTTGCTTGGGACAGCGCCACTCCGCTGTCCACCAGTCATTAGTCCATATATTGATTGTCGCTTGCCCGCCCTCAGCGATTGCGTGGAGGACAACTAGTGCAGCCGCCAATGCCAACGGCCACTTCCCCCCCCCCTATACGCCCCCATCCGCAGCGAACAAGACTGTACCTGTACGAGAGGGAGTCGGCACGGCAGTACGCAGCTGTCGCTGGGACGCCCCATCCGCCCCCCCCCTACCGCCTCCCTCCCCCTCGCCGATATAGACCGGTTTACTCCAGAAAGTTTCCATACGAAGCGGCCAAAAAGGAGAAAGCCAGATCACATGCAAATGGTGGCCCTTTACAAATAAGGGCCTAATAAAAGAGGCAGAATGGCGGTGAGTTTCTCTACTATTTCCGCCCATGCGGTTACCGCGGAATTCATCTTCAAAGTCCTTTCCTGTTTCCTATTTGAGTTTCGTTTGTGATTCGTTTCTTTCTTTTGTATTTCGGGGTTTTGAAAGTTACTCATAGTTATTGAATGAGTGAAGAAAGTTCAAACTTCTGGATTTGAAGAGGTTGGGTTCAGGACCTTCTCCAGTACCACAGTATCGGCTTCGGTTCGGATCTTCTTTTTGATGAATCGTAGCAAAATGCGCTTTGGTTTCTATCGACGATTGCAGCGTCGAATGTGAGTATCGATCCTAAAAATTACGATTGGTAGGCTTATAAATGAAGTTCAGCTGTAAAGGAATTCACCTTTCTGATGTTATAGAAATCCCTATGGGAAACGGCTTTCTGCTCGTGAAGTTCACGAAGTTCTCGTTCAAAAGCACGTGTTTCGAACTTGTTCTGCCAGGTTAGGGACAGAAAACCGTCGATAGCAGAACGATTTCCTATAAGAAAAAAAAGGTCAGTTCTAACCAAACAGCCGGGTTTCTGTCCAGCATTAGTGTGCCTGGTTTAGATTAAAGCGAAGGATATTTTTGGGCTCTTCTTGGGCAGGAATGGCCTAGTGCTTAAGTGGAGTCTCACGTCTACGTTGTGAGCCACGAGTTCGATTCCTTTCGAGGCACAAACCATGGCTGCAAAAATGGTGGGATACCAGCGTCGGGCCAGGCTGACAGGCCGGCGCTTACATGGAGAACCCGTCTTAATAGCAGTCATGTCTGAAAGTTGCAAAAGTATCAGTGCTAAGGGTCGCCCCGAAGTGGCGCGCAGAACTCTCGCCCGAGTTCTTTGGTCAGTATGCGAGGGCTACCGCAGTGGTGAAGTTAGTTCGCAGTGGGACTTGTCGCGGAACGCGACTGTTGCCCCGGGCTCGCCGAGCGCCTGAGCTCTGTCGCGCCCTACGGCCAAACTATGCGCTGCTCCGCGTCAACCAATAGGCGCGGGCCACGTGATGTCCCGCTGCGTGCTGCTATATAAAGCGGCCGGCGAGAGACTCCGCGCAGCGTTGCTCTCTTGGCACCCTTCCCTGCGGGGAGGAGAATATCCTTCTCCTGCCTGTAGAGAAGGTCAATGCCAGGCTCACGTGGAGTGCAGGTCCGAGTAGCACCTGTCGCTACGAGGACTATCACTCGCGCAGGCCGGCAGAGTAACCTTGCCGCTCTTACCGCGAACTATGTCAACTATGGTCCGATGGATTGGTCGTCCACAACGGCAGGAATGAGAGTAGGAAGAGGAAGTTGGCAGATGTTCAGGTTTCCCGCAACAATAAATGTGAGTGTTTATAGTTTGTGTTGTTTGTGTTATTTACTCATGTATTAGGGCAAGCACAGGGGAGCGCCAGGGCTGGGGCCCGACTAAGGCGCTGTAGGATGTTGTGTCATGCATTTCGTAGGCTTGTGTGTTTTGCTTAGTCCTACCGGTTGTGCGTCCGGCGGCCAGGGAATCCCTGGCCTGGTCCTTGTGGCTGGGTCAGGGGTAGACCAGCCGCCTGGGGACAGTGCTACCGCAGGTTCCCCCCACGACCCCCCTGGGATAGGAACCCTGTAGACCCTCGGGGAGCGGAGGCTGCACTGGGGGGAGACCAGTGTGGTCCCCGAGGAGGACCCCTGGGATGACGTGAGTCCTAGGTCTGGGGCTCACGGGGACTCTGAACCACCTGGATGCGTCGTGTTGAGGGATCAGCAGGGCGATTGCCTCTGTACCACGACATGGTGCATCCGGCCGCGCGATTCGATTCCCGCCTGCTCAGGCTGGAAGTCTGAGCAGGGTCAAAGGACGGCTCTACCACTGAGTGGGTCCTTTGGCTCATCCTAGGGGTTATGGCCCTTACCAAGCCCTAGAGGAACACCTGGTTCTCTCCTCGGCGCCAGGTGTGAAACCTCTTCGGCTGGCATTACCCTTCGCCCTGATCGTGCCCTCCATACCGGGAGCTGTTGGTGAAGGGGTGGGGAGCGCTAGTCCGCGGGACTGTGGCAACCCGCCGCCTACTGTCTCCCGTCATGACACCTCTTCACCGGCAGCAGCCGATCGGGTAAAGGACACGGGGATGGAGCACTAGTGAGGGAACCCTGGTAGGAGCCACCCGGCTACAGTCCTGGAATCTGGCGCCTTGCGAGGAAGAGCGGCCAGGGCTGGGCCTGCTGTGTGGGTTGCAGCAGGTTAGGGGGTGCCACCCTGGCAATAAGCCAGGCTGGGACTTTCCCCGTACCTAGGTGCTCTACGGTTGGACGGCCGTCGTAGAGTGGGGAAAGTTGCTCCGTGCACCTGCGGGGTGCAGGCAGTTCGCGCCAGGGGCTAGTGCAACATCCTCGGAGCCCTCATGGGGAGGACACGACCATGGCGTTGTTCTAGGGTTTGGTAAATCCATAACTCCCCTTAGGTAAGGACCCCGTGGGGCAATCTCTTGTTTCCTATCCCATTCCTTTTCAGGCATGTACACCGCTTCCAGCGCCACCGGCGCAGCATCCCCTTGTTGCCCCTTCATACAGCTTCTAGTAGGATCCCACTTCTATTAACTTGACCCATTTTTTCGCTGTCTTCTCTTTCCTTTCTAGTTAGTCCTTCTTTACTGTTCGTTTTAGTGTTTTCTCTGTTTATCGCTTCTTTTTTCCCTTTCCTATCTTTCTTTGTCCCCATTTCCACCCCTCGTGTGTAAGTGTGTGAGTGGTTTTTGTTTTTTGCTTACCGCGGAGTACAATTTCAATTGTCTCCATTTTTCCGCTTTCCTTGGGTTCTCGGATCGATTTCTAGTCGATCTGTGTTTTTCCGATCGATTTTCCATCCATTTTTGCCTATTTCCCCTCTATTTCGATCGATAATCGCGTTTATACTTCTGCCAGTTCATTATCGATCGCAGTGGATGGGAAATCATCACTTTCCCAGACGTCGTGCGACGTTCTCATGAGAGAGCGCTCATTTAAGAGACGCAGACATGGGAACGTAGTCGGCGCCGTGAGAAAGTCACATGCACATCGATCGGAAAGACACGCCTCAAGGTCAACTTACCTATTGATTACCAGCGCCTATAAAAAGGGAGACACAGAGTACTCAAATTCATTTCATTTGGTCAATTCGACTGCTGTAATGGACTTTGAGCTACTCAAACGAGAAGTTCGGACGTTCTGTGCAAGATCTTAAGGACGTCATGGCTTCCATCAACATACATCTCCTTGAAGACGATGATAATCAAGAGGTAAGTTCTTTACCGCATGAATTCGTTAGGGCTAGGATGCGCGACCTCATGGTCACGCAGACCTATCTCTCACGAGCTCTTTGCCGCACTGACCAGCAGTGGGACCTAATGGTCCAGGGTATCGCTCAAGTTGAGCAAGAAGACCGACGCCAAGTCCTGTATGACGAGGCCCGCCTCCATTGGAATGGCCAAGGAGGGGACCAAGCCCAGAACTCGGCTAGAGAACTTCTTTCCCGACTTGATGTCGCAATCCGTCTATTAGAGCCCCACTCGCGGCAGAAAGGTACGAGTCACACGGAAACCCCTGCACCTCCGCACCGCAGGGTTCCCCTGATGACTCCAGTGCAGATGGCACCACGGGCACATCCCGAAGACGCAAGTCTTCCGGACCGTACCCGGGGTACCACCTCGCACGAGGTACCATTTCCGCTGCGTCACACTGCTTCGGAAGAAGAAGTTCATCCGCAGCAGCGTGAAGCATTGCCGCAAGAGCAGTTTGTTCGTTT